TGGGCAGAATATGTACAGGAAAGACATTTGTCATTTTTAGTTGAGGCAGTTCAAAAAAAATGTTTAAAACCATAGGAAAATTGTTTAATATGTAAATTGATTTAGGAACAAATCTTCTTTAACATTTGACTTAATTATTTTCAGACATTAAGGTAGGGAAACTCACATCATTGGTATAGCCCTTTGGTTCACTTAACACTTTGGGTGGCCCCTAGGCCTTATCTTCTGTCCCTTTTATATTGATTGGCCATAGAAACTAAGCCAAAAAAAATGCAATATAGATAAAAATCACAGTGCAAAAACAGCTTTATTGTACTAATATTATTCTTACCTATTTGGTCACAGTTTTATATGAAAAAATTGGCATGAGACTAACCCTCACCAAGTATACACAGATATCCTTTTTTTCAGAAACAGTAAAAAAACAGAATGACTGTGAAAGTTAAATATTAAGAAGAAACCTAATTAGCTACAAGCATAGTAGTTAACTAGAAATATCTGACTAGACATACATCCCAGGTACTAGAACTTGGATTTTATTGACCATTAAAGGACTTCTGATATGGCCACTTGAGATAGGGACTGAGTGGAAGTCCTAGCATATACCCAGACCTAGAAAGACTGTGCCTCTTCAGTGAAAGGGAATCTAGAAAAGTTCAAAGAAACAACAGGACAGCTTGTCTCTGACCAAAACTATATATAGACCTGGAATTACCTGCCATAAAGAAAATCCACAAACTGGGACATTAACATACAAATATTACCTCAAGGACTAAACTTTTGTTCCCCCAAGAGAAGCAATTGCAAAACCAGCCTGGCAAGTCTTCCACATACAAGTTAATATAAAAAAAAATCCATTACTGATAAAGATGGGCACAGTAAAAATCTTACACACCACATTAAAAAAAAACAATCCATCACAAAGGATAATTGAAACTATATGGTCATCAATATTTGAGGTCATAGAAAAACATGAAAGAGTATAAAATCTGTATTTAAACRGAAATAATTTAATAGCCATGTAAAAGGAATGTCATGAAAAATGATAGGCGGAATTGGAAAAGAATGTAAGAAAACATCTACAAATGAAAGTTATAGTAATTAAAATTTTAAAAATAAGAGAAGGCAAGGCATAATGGTGCATGCCTGTAATTCCAGCAACTCAGCAGGAGGATCACAGAAATTATTAAAACAACCATTGAGAAATTGTTAAAGCAACCATTGAGAAAAACCAGATCAACCCACAAAAGAATTGTTATTATACTAATAGTGACTTCGCATTAGCAACAATAGATGCCCGCAGTTGCATAATATCTTCAAAGTGCTGAAGAAATAACATATATTATACTTCTTTCCAGTGAAGAGTATAAAAACAAAATAATCACGTGTTCAGGCAGAGACTATCTCACTAAAAAGAACTTCTATAACTATGTCTCAGAAAAGTTGAACCCCAAGGGAAAACTCAGATGGTTTGTTAAGAGATATCTACTAATTCTTCTAGGAATAGACTATTATATAAAGTGTTCTAGAGAATTAAATAAGAAAACCCAGTTTTTACAAGTCAAGTTCACCATTGATAACAAAACTGAAAAGTATATCCCAAGAAGAAAAAAACGTCAATCACAGCAATCTGAAATGAAATATTTTTAAAACAAATTAAATAATCTTTATTTTGCCATATGCATATTACCACCAACCTAGTCACCTTATTTCTCTCCTGAGCTATCCAATAATCTGCCAACTAGACTTCCTGCTTCTTGCCCTGGCCTTCTTAGAGTCTATTCTTAACTTAGCAGGATGTGTGAACATATATTAATGTAAGATAAATCTTCTAGAAACTTTCCATTTCACTCATACTCTTTATAAGGACCTTGGACTCTTCATATCTCATCTAGTGCTCATTATATCATTCCTGCAACAGGATTCTCCCTACTGCTATTTAAACATGCCAGACACGCTTCTATCTTGGGGTCTTTACACTTACTGTGCCGCCTTCTTCAGCTACTCCTTCCAAAGATAAGCAAGATTTATTGTTTTATCATCTTAGGGTCTTCATTCACTTATCTTTTTCTTCATTATGTCTTTATTATTTTAAATTGTTAAGCATTTCCTTACCAACTCTTTAGACACTTCCTACTCTCTGTTCTGGCTTTGTCCATAATATTTTTATCTTTATCGTACTATATATTTCATTTATTTATTTATTGTCTCTTTTTTCCCAACTAGAAGATGGGCTTCATGAGGACACAAATTTTTATCAACTTTGATGAATGCTGTATCCCCCATAATCCCATAATCTGAAAATGGAATAATTGCTTAATAAATATTGGCTGAATAAAAATGCACTGAAGAGTAGGTGTTTCTTGAGGGAGAAAAGAAGAGCAAGATTCAAGGGGAGACATATGTTTTATAGTGTGTTATATCTCTTTCTCTCTCTCTCTTCTTTTTTTGATACTGTGGATAGAACCCAGGGCCTCATGCATATTAGGCAAGTGCTCTGTCACTGAGTTACATCCTCAACCCTCATGTTTTGTTTTGTTAATCCGAAGGAATTGTGAAAGATTTATTTACATTTCTTAGATTTGATGATAGATATAACAGTTTCCATTCTATTATTCCATTCCCTCTTTATATGTGAAAAGACAAATTTTTAAACAATTAAAACATGTATAAAGATCATACTGGTGAGGATATTAAGAAAACTTTAGATATAAAGGGTAGATTTTGAATAGAGAAGAAACAATATTTCTCTTCTATTGTTTACTTTTAAAATATTATATAAAATTATAAAATGACTACAATATAATAATTACTAGTGAATAAAGAGATACATGTTCTGCATCAAAATACATAAGTTTCAAAATTAAAGATTATAGAAAAAAGCAAACTAGAAGAAATTATACATGAGTATATGATTGTAGGGAGGGTATTAGATTTTTTTAGTATAAAAGTAAATGAATAAATCATATAGGATTAAATAAATCTAAATAAACCTTAATATGGTTAAATATAAATTTATATAAATACAAATCTCAAGCATGTATTTGACAAGAGCATTTTTATATTTTGTGCGCTCTTCAAAACTCTTTGGTTCACATAATTTGAATCTCAGATCAATGTTTAAATTTAAACAAAAGAAAATAAGTTCAACTTTTATTTTTTGAGCAAAATGAATGATTTTTTAAATTTTTGCATTATGTAGATGGGGGAAAACCTTTCTTTTGAGGTTATTCCACATTTACTTGAAATAAAAATAGGTGGTCAGATAACTTGCCATGCTCCCTTACTTTTTTGGTATATACCCCTGATGTTTTCACCTTCATTCCTTTTCTTTTATATTCTTTCTTTTTCCAGCTTTAGCTTAGAAAATCATGTATCCCAAACACACCCAACTCAACTGTCATCAGCTTCATGAAACATACTTCTTCCATTATCAAAATTATCCATTTTTCCTTTGAGCTGTCACGGGTTATATTTAGTCATTCCATTATAATACTTAATAATTCTGTGTTAAAATTTATTGAAAATATAGAGGATAATTCTGATACAGAAGATATCTACTGAACTATGATACTACTGTGCCTTATTCATTTTCATGGCTCATGAGTTTTGTCTTCACGACATGACCAACACTACATGACCAACACAACATGCTATAGGCTAAAAAGGACAGGTGTTAGATTGAATGTAAATCATGTTACATGTTCTAAATTCAAATAAAAGCTAAGTGATACATGTCACAAAACTTTCACTGTAATTTTTTTTTAAATGTGGTCAGTGAGTTAAGTTTTCATTTAGCACATGATGGAACTGAACATGGTAATGTAAAAGGATATACCACTGAATCAGTCAGTACTATTTAGCTTCAACAAAACTATCTGCTAAATTAAATTAATATTAATTTGAAATGTCTTGATATTGTGGTTACTTTATTTCCTTTATAAAGGTGTTTGTGCTTTATACTTTATTTTGTATGCATGAGATGTGTATACTCACTGTTATATTTGTATACAAGTGTCATGTAATCTAAGTCAATATCAGGAGTCTGGTTAGACTTTTTCATTTAAAAGCTTTATATATTGCTCAAAGTTAGGAAACAGTACAGACTGCTTAGTATTATAGAGGTCAGAGGCAGAAGAAGTCAATATTAGGATAGTAAGAAACACCAATTTGATTGTATTATGAAAACTAATTTTTTTATTCATTGTCAAATAATCTGGAAAGAACTTTGTTCAGATCTTGAATCAATATGTGTTCTTGGTACTTAAATATCCTAATTGAAAATAAAATAAGGAGTGATTTTTAACTTTTTTCTAAAACTTTGGTTTAGTAGTTTATTCCTTTAACCAATCTTCTAAATGTCTTTATACTGTCCTGATTGGCAATCTATCAGTTTATAACCTGTATGACTTTGTATGAAATGGTTTAGATTTCTTTAAAAATCTCTTTTTTTTTGGGGGGGGGAGTGTTATTTTAATCTCAAGTATAGCATAGGTTTACTGGTTTTTATTTTGGCTATTTAAGGCAGGATTGTTTCTCTGCAACATGAAATATCTCTTAATGTATATTTTATGGATTATTTTTATTTTAAAACATTAATAAAAACCAATCATAGAATATAATATTGTGGTGTATTTTGAATCTAATGAGAATCTTAGAAGCATACTTCTATACAACCAGCACATTATAAAATCAGAACAATTAATGAAGAAAATAATTTTGAATATAGTTTGACCTTAATTATTTTTAAAAAAATAAGTATTTTGTGATTTATATCATAATATTTAGAATAAGAAGGGTAACTGAAAATTGTGATTTAATTACCAGAGTACTATATGTAATGTTATTTTGTTTGTATTCAGTATTACTTTTACTTACCATTCTTGTTACAAAACAAAACCTTGTCTTTTAGAGAATACAGTGGTATTATTTACATTAATTCATATGGCGAAAAAAATGCTATAACTCCTTTACTTAATGGGATTCTTCCCCTGTGGCAGTGCAAACGGCTAGAGCAGGAGCTTCATCATCTGAAAGAGCAGAACCAGACTTCAGCAAACAACATGAGACATCTGACTGCTGAAAACAATCAAGAACGTGCTCTGAAGGTAAATCTCCGTTCCTTCTTGCAGGCAAATTAAGGTTGTAAGCCTTTGGTGCCAGCTTTCTGTGCTGCATATATCAGTTGTGTACATTTCAGCAGAAGTGAGCTGTGGTGTTTGCCAACAACCCCTTCTTTAAACACAGATACAGCACCCTTCTGTTATGGTATTATTTTATTTCATGTATGTGTACGTGAAAACAACATATTTTCTGAATTTTGAGTAGTGTATTAATAACTTTTAGTACCTATTTACTCTGTTTCTTCTTCAGTTTTTTTTTTATGTTATTACCTTTTATAGTTAATAAAAAAAAAGTAACTTCACTGAGAGGAAAAATTAAATCTTGGGCCCTTTCTATTAAAAATTATAATAATTTTTAAAATGAGTTGTCACAGGAGTAACCCACAGAATTGACACTCCTGAAGCATATGTGAAGTGAGTTTGGGAACTGAAAGAGTACTTAGAGTGTTACAACAAAAAAGAAAGAGTTGGGCTGGCTTTGTGGCTCAGCAGTAGAGCGCTTGCCTAGCATATGCGGGGTGCTGGGTTCAATCCTCAGCACCACATAAAAATAAAATGAAGGTATTGTGTTTAACTATAACTAAAACATAATATTTAAAAAAATAAAGAGCTAATATATTCAACTAGAACCTGAAACAAGTGAGGAATATATTATATGATAAATTGTCATTGTCGTATACATTCAGTAATTGTGAAAAAGCACATTGTTTTGATTCTGGTAATTACATTTTTTTCTTCAGATGCTTGTGACTTTCTATTCTATCTTTTTGTTTTTCCCTGGATTCCTATTATAATGCATGTGACACAATAATGGCCTCTACCCTCAAGGTGCTTGCATTCTCAGGAACAGGTTAAAGAAAATCCATGGAAAACAAAAGATTTATCATTGTTTTATTGTATAGTAAGAAAAGATTTGCTACCAAGAGGATTATATTGTTCTTTCAAATTCACTTTTTGCTGCAGATTGCAAATACCATGGTATTAACAGGGTCATACACTAGGCCAGAATTAAGAAATCTCACTATCAAAATTGAGAAAAGTATTTTTAGTCTGTCAATAAAGTGGGAGGTTTAGTAGAAGTCAAGATTTTTCTACAAAATATGTTTAACTTCATTTTGAAATTCTTAGTGGTAAGCTTATAATAACTTTGTTTTTTAGTACAACGTATTTTCTCTTATCTCTGATTGAATTTTTAGTTAGACCAGAAAGATAAGTGAGAAAAGAGAGAATTATAGATTGCTATGATTGTTCTTATTTACTTCCAAAGAGTAGACTCCTTTATGAAAATTAAATACGACAATGTTTTAAATGTTACCTGCGAAATGGAAAACATTATTTTTAAGGCAGCTTCCAGAATGCATGCTAAATTATCACCAATAGGGGAGAGATTTCATATAATATGATTGTTTCCATTTAAAACAGGACCTCAATTTAAAAATTCCAGTTTGTTAAGTATATAGTTATTGCATGGCCTTTGTTCTGGTATTTTGGGTTGTATGTTTAGGTTAAATTTAATTAAATGGTGCTTCAATTATGAAAAGAAATAGATACACAATTCTAAGAGATCATTAAAATTAGAAGAAAATAAGTACACCAAAAGAAACTCACAAGTTCAAAACAAAAACCAGACCACTATACAAGAGCAGTTTCTATAGAGCATAAAACTTAAAGTAATACATAAATATAGCTCATTTTTACTCCTGAAAAATGTACTACATTAGTATTTTCTAGTTTCTCATCTTTTTATGCAAAAATTTCAGATTTTTGAGCGTTTTGTTAGTCCTTGATAACCTCATCCATTAGCTAAAGCCAGCTTAAATTCTTGGTAGAGTAAGGAAAGGAAGAAGAATTAGTTTTTGGAAACTCTCTCATCAGCTCAGTCTTTCATAAGCCTCTGTATTCATTTAGGCTCTTTTAAAATGTCCATCTTATGTGACACCGACTTTGAATTATTTTTAGTCATTTTAAACCATATTTCATCATGAGAAACTCTAAATTTATTATGAAAATTGGATTGTTTATAATGTATCTGATTTTTTCTAAATCATATTTTAAAAGTTTTTCTTACCTTTCAGGAATTTTGTTGTTTGGTGCTTTTTAAAAATATACTGCTCTATCTATAAGTTGTCCTAGAAGCTTTGAATAATAAACTCTGCTTTTTTGTATGCTTATCTTTTTCAACCCATGTACATGTATCATTTTTGTTAACTGATTTAATATTTAGTTTATATCTAAATCAGCATTAAGAGCAATGTTAAAGCTTTCAGTCTACCAATAATATATTTATTATAAATAGTATTGTTATGAATATTACTAATAATGGTAGATTTGGATAGAGTAGGAATTAAAAAATTCAACTTGTTTACTGAATTTCACTGAACTTTCTAAAAGAAACAGTTCTTTGTGTGTGTAGAGAATTTTATTTGACAGATAACATACACATTGTTCTTGTCCAATTTTAAAAAAATTTTATTAGTATTTTTTAGATACACATGACAATAGAGTATATTTTGACATTTATGTAAACATGGAGTATATTAGAATAAGGAAGAGTTCTAGGAATATGCTTGGGGAAGAAAAAATCTTAAGTTAATTGTCAACCATTCTTTCCAAATTGAAGATTACAGCATCATCATAATTACTTACAAGGAAATACTTTTCAATAATCTAGTGTCATTCAAATAATAATGTCTTTGTTTATTCTAATAACTGGAAAATTCTTCCTAATTTTTTTATGGTAAAACATACAAATACACTTGGTCATTTATAAACATTCTATTTGGAGTAGCAAGGAGTTACACTAAGTGAATTTATTAGATATGGCACGTTTTTCTCCTAGTTTTATGTATTTAAAAAAATTCCCTAATAAAAGGTAAAACAGAGAGGTACCTACAGTGTGAGGAACTGAATTATACCAATACTTGTATATATAGAGGTTTGGGGGTGGGTTTTGTTTTTTTTTTTTTGTCTTTACAAAAAAATAAACCTTATTTATTTTCTCATTTAAAATAAATTGTGGAGGGGCGGAACCGGCCCCTCCCCCAGTGCCTGCAAGCGAGGCGACCCTGCAAGCCACGGGCGGGCGGGTCAGGCCCAGCAACCAGCCAAGAGACAGCAGATACACG